CTTATTTTTGCTTTGAAAAAGTCCAGACACCGGGGAAAAATGTTCAAAGGTGGGGATTGGGTCAAGAAACCAGACGGTGGAGACCCATGCGCAGTGGGCGGAGCTTTCTAAAATGGGCGGTACTTTTTAGGTGTGTTCATAACTCGATTCAATTGAGGCGCAGAGGCCAGGAAAAAAAATAAAAAGAGTGAGCAGGGCCTCCTGCGTGCTGGGCATGCGTAAGCTTAGCGAAGCCCCGCCCACGGTGGGTGGGGCGTGCGTTGAGGTGAAAGCTACTTTTCAAAAATGAGTGTAACTTCGTTCGGAAACGTTCTGGGATGCGGCAAAAAGGTATTAAAGTGCAAAAGAACAAATGTGGTCAAATCCCAAAAGTGACCGGAGTTGGCACTAAAGTGGGCGGGGCTTGAATCAAAAATTTATACTACCATTAAGAAAAGTTCTGGAATGCGGCAAAAAGGTTATTAAGGTGTAAAAGAACAAGTGTGGTCAAATCCCAGAAGTGGGCGGGGTTGGCGCTAAAGTGGGCGGGGCATAGATCAAAAATTTATAACTCTACTCAGAAACGTTCTAAAATGCAGCAAAAAGGTATTAAGGTGTGAAAGAACAAATGTGGTCAAATCCCAAAAGTGGGCGAGGCTGGCACTAAAGTGGGCGGAGTTGGCACTAAAGTGGGCGGGGCTTGGATCAAAAATTAGAAACATTCTGAGATGCGGCAGAAGAGTGTTAAGATGTAGTAGAACAAATGTGGTCAAGTCCCAGATGTGGGCGGAGTTGGCCTGGAGTGGGCGGGGCCTACATCAATTTAATCTCTTCAAATCTCTCCTAAAATTCTAATCTCCTTTACATCTCTTCAAATGAGTTTTAGAACGCCGGAAAAAGGTGTCTAGAGGTAATAAAAGTAATGTGGTCCGAAGTCTGAAGTGGGTGGGGTTTGCAAAGATGGGGGAGGGGGGCTGAAGTCAGAAATTTGCACATTTGTCCTTCACACTATCCCCGACCACAAAGGTGTACAACTAGGGGATACCACTGAACTCCCCTAGAAGTAGGCTAAAGTTTTTTTCAAAAGTTAGCACCATGGTTCGACACAGTAGTCCCTTCTACGCAAGAGCAAATGCACTACATTAACTCAACCTCATGAAATAAATTTTACAGTAACCCCGGCCAACAGGTGCATACCCTGTAGAAACGTGTAAATCCCTACAAGTACCCAAAGGGGCTTCCCTTTCAGAGTTAGTGTTCATGGCCATACACAGCCAGAATTACACAGAGTTTCTTCGACTACGTGGACTGCAGTGGTATTTGATTTGAATACATCGGAGTACTCTTCATGGCAACACTCAACACCATTTCACACCCCAAAAAGGATGACGGCTACAGAAGTGTTAGGAAATAGGCTCAGATGACAAAGGTCTATAATGAAAATCAGAGACTCATGTGGCTCCGTCCCTCATGGCTAGAGCCCCTAGCGCACGCAATAGCGTGCGTAGCTGCCTGGTGAGTCAAAAAGCAAGAGCGCGGAGAGAGCAAGAAAGAGAGGAGCAGCGCCAAGCTCGCTTAGAACGACTAAGTCAAATAGCAAGAGTGCGGAGGGAGGAGGAGGGAAAGGAGCAGCGACAAGCCCGCCTAGAACAATTAAGTCAAAGAGCAAGAGTGCGTAGGGAGGAAGGAGAGGAGCAGCGACAAGCTCGCATAAGAAGCATTGCTGAAAGAACAAGAACGCGAAGGGAACAAGAAGGAGAGGAGCAAAGAAGGGCTCGCCTCACAGGCATTGCCACAAGGACTAGGTCGCGAAGAATTCAGGAAAGCGAGGAGCAGCAAAGGACCAGACAACTACGCGATGCAGAACGAGCAAGAGCTCGGAGACAGCAAGAAGGCGATGAACGACGCGAACAGCGAAACATTGCAACAGCAGAAAGGGAAAGGGCGCGAAGAACGAGGTTTTCAACAAGTCAAGTCGAGGAGAGGCGACGTACCGAGTCAGAAAGACACCAGTTGAGAAGAAGGATCACGGTGGCTGGGACCAGACGAATAGCTCTCTCGAATGTCATCCCAGAGGAGCATTATGACGGGCCTATGAATGTTGAGTGTGAGTTTTGTGGAGCAAGGCATTTCAAATCCGAGTCGAAGGCGAGCAGAGCAACTTTTAATGATTGCTGTAATCATGGTAACATTTCCCTAGAGCACTTCACTAACTATCCCAGACAACTGTACCAATTACTANATACACTGTAACCCTGCTCTGATCCGATCTCTCAGTACACTGCTCCATGAAATCAATGCTTTTGCGCAAGCTTACAAAATGCTGAACGACGTTGCTCTCGAAGAGGAGGCTCGAGCAGCAAGGGAAGGGAGGACGGCGATGCCAGTTAAAATGGTATTTCAAAGTTCGAACTTGGATCCACGCCGTTACAATGAGCCAACAGCAAACGAAGTGGCCGTCGTGTATGTAGGAGAGGAAGGAGATGTACCGGCCGAGCATAATCTCGCCGTGCACTTACGATCAGGAGGCCTGCACAATGTACGCGTTTACGATGCCGAATGTGATCCGCTCTCCTACCCTCTTTTATTCCCACGCGGAGAGCTTGGATGGCACCCTAACATGTTAAAAAACCCGTCAGAACGCCGTAGAACAAGAATCACCCAGAAAGAATATTATTCAAACATGATAGCTGTGAGGGCGACATTCAATCCCCTTCACTTTGCCGGCAAACTTTTTCAGCAATTTTTGGTAGACAGCTATGTAAAGATTGAGCAAAATCGTTTAAACTACGACAGAACACACCAAAGGGAACTCCGAGTAGATACAGGCTCATCTCGAGCCATGGTGCAAAACTATCAAGATGCTATGGCGATTGTTTCCAAATATGGGAAGCCAGACCTGTTTATAACCTTCACTTGCAATCCGACATGGAAGGAAATTGTAGAACAACTGAGTAGAGGCCAATCAGCTTCCGATCGGCCTGACATTGTTGCTCGCGTGTTTCATATTAAACTGCAGGAGCTATACACAGATCTCTTCAAGCGGAATATACTTGGAACTGTTATCGCGCACATAAGTGTAATGGAGTGGCAGAAAAGAGGGCTTCCTCACTGCCATATTTTACTCACGCTAGCTGCAGAGGATAAGCCGAGAAACCCTACTGAAGTGGATGCTGTGGTGCAGATTATACCTGATCCAGTATCAGAATCTCGGCCTCATGAAATTGTAACAGATTTCATGATGCATAGGCCCTGCGGTGTGGACAACCCAACCTCGCCGTGTATTGTAGACGGCCAATGTTCAAAAAAAGTTTCCCAAACCATTCAGGGAGACTACAAACATAGAGGTAGACGGCTATCCAGAATACAGACGACCGAACGATGGGAGGACAGTACAATATGGCAGCACAACGCTTGACAACAGATCTGTAGTTCCATATAATAGATATCTAGCGCTCCGGTACAATGCCCATTTAAATGTTGAGATCTGTGCTATGATTCACGCAGTGAAATATATGTACAAATACGTGTACAAGGGACCAGACAGAGCGGCGTTACGTATGATTAGAACAAATGGGGATGATGGGGTTGGAGCAATAAACGAGATCGATGCATTTGTCAATGCCAGATTTGTGTGTGCTCCGGAATCTGCGCATAGATTGCTTGGCTTCGACCTGCATTGCAAATCGCATACCGTTCACCGGTTGCAAGTGCATTTGCCAGATTTCGGGGGTGTTGTCTTTCAGAGTGGACAAGAGGAAGAAGCTCTTCGTCGGGCTGCAGGAAGAGACACGATGTTAACAGCGTATTTCAAACTCAGCGCGGAACATGAAGCTGCGTTCGGAGCTGGAAATGCACCGCAAGGTGGGGTCGATGCTCGGACATCACTCTATGTCCAGCTGCCGGAGCACTTCACATTCGGTCAGCGAACAGGAAAGTGGAGCATCAGAAGGAAGCAAAGTCGGCAATTAGGGAGAATGTACACAGCGCACCCACTGGATTCTGAGTGCTACAGCCTTCGAATACTTCTCCTGAACAGAAAAGGAGCTTTACATCGAAGGAAATTCCAGCCTCGCCTTCTTTTCTGATGACTGCGCCGCAGATCGATTGTGTGAATTTTGAGAGTATTAGACGTCTCCACACTCAATCGCCTTCTTCATCGAGGTTCACGTCTGTTGCAGATGAGTGACCCTCGTAAGATAGCTGTGAGCGTTTAGCAGCAACTTCTTGGGTTTCTCTGAGCTCGCAAGAGGCGTTCGATTTCGTTTATCAGGATGTCTGCGACGATTGCGGTGTTGGTAATATTTCTTGAAAATATTGACTCCAGGACTGAACAAAAGGTGCTGCATTCCTTATATTTTCCTGAGAAAGGAGAGGCTTGAAGTAGTGGGCGTCATACAGGAATGTTGCGCTCTTGTGGCATTGCTGCACTAGTAGTCCTTCCTTGACAGCTGGTATTACTCACAGTATGGTTGTTGCTTTCTTTAGACGAAGCAATCGATGAGTTTTGTTGCCGTCACTCCTCTTTTCTAAACTTGATCTTATTCGAACACTGTACGACAACGACTTCCAGTATGTTCGATTAAACTTCCAGGGTTTGTTCAGGTCCAGCATTAGCTTTACGAGTTCTTTAAGCTCCGCTCTCCCACTGATATTTTCTATGGCTTCTTTGTCGCATGCGTTGTGGAACTGCTTTGCTATGATTGACTTTTATAAATACAGTGCGTCGCCAAATGATACAGCCTCCTCTAATTTCCCCAAAAACTCACAGTATTTGACGCTACTGAAAAACTGCCAAAGTAAAAAATGTGTCAAATTTGAATTGCAATTCGCACATTACCACCAAATTCCAGCTCGAAAACACAAACATTTTTTTGGTCAATTTTCTAGTGAAGGGTGCTCTCCCAACGTCGCCAAATGATACAGCTACTTCATGTCTTC